CTGACGTTTGCTAGGCTAGTTTAGGGCGTAGATCTAACGTTTGGTAGGCTAGTTTAGGGCGTAGATCTGACGTTTGGTAGGCTAGTTTAGGGCGTACATCTGACGTTTGCTAGGCTAGTTTAGGGTGTAGATCTGACGTTTCCTAGGCTAGTTTAGGGTGTAGATCTGACGTTTGCTAGGCTAGTTTAGGGCGTAGATCTGATGTTTGCTAGGCTAGTTTAGGGTGTAAATCTGACGTTTGCTAGGCTAGTTTAGGGTGTAGATCTGATGTTTGCTAGGCTAGTTTAGTGCATAGATCTGATGTTTGCTAGGCTAGTTTAGGGTGTAGATTTGATGTTTGCTAGGCTAGTTTAGGGCGTAGATCTGATGTTTGCTAGGCTAGTTTAGGGTGTAGATCTGATGTTTGCTAGGCTAGTTTAGGGCGTAGATCTGATGTTTGCTAGGCTAGTTTAGGGCATAGATCTGACGTTTGCTAGGCTAGTTTAGGGTGTAGATCTGACGTTTGCTAGGCTAGTTTTAGGGTGTAGATCTGATGTTCGCTAGGCTAGTTTTAGTGCTAGATCTGATGTTTGCTAGGCTAGTTTAGGGCGTAGATCTGACGTTTCCTAGGCTAGTTTTAGGGCGTAGATCTGACGTTTGCTAGGCTAGTTTAGGGTGTAGATCTGACGTTTCCTAGGCTAGTTTAGGGTGTAGATCTGATGTTTGCTAGGCTAGTTTAGGGCTTAAATCTGACGTTTGGTAGGCTAGTTTAGGGCGTAGATCTGATGTTTGCCAGGCTAGTTTAGGGCGTAGATCTGATGTTTGCTAGTCTAGTTTAGTGTGTAGATCTGACGTTTGCTAGGCTAGTTTAGGGTGTAGATCTGACGTTTGCTAGGCTAGTTTAGGGCGCAGATCTGATGTTCGCTAGGCTAGTTTAGGGTGTAGATCTGATGTTTGCTAGTTTTAGTTTAGTGTGTAGATCTGACGTTTGCTAGGCTAGTTTAGGGTGTAGATCTGACGTTTTGCTAGGCTAGTTTTAGTGCGTAGATCTGATGTTTGCTAGGCTAGTTTAGGGTGTAGATCTGATGTTTGCTAGCTAGTTTAGGGCGTAGATCTGATGTTTGCTAGGCTAGTTTAAGGTGTAGATCTGACGTTTGCTAGGCTAGTTTAGGGCGTAGATCTGATGTTTGCTAGGCTAGTTTAGGGCGTAGATCTGATGTTTGCTAGGCTAGTTTAGGGTGTAGATCTGATGTTCGCTAGGCTAGTTTAGGGTGTAGATCTGATGTTCGCTAGGCTAGTTTTAATGCATAGATCTGATGTTTGCTAGGCTAGTTTAGGGCATAGATCTGATGTTTGCTAGGCTAGTTTAGGGCATAGATCTGATGTTTGCTAGGCTAGTTTAGGGCATAGATCTGACGTTTGCTAGGCTAGTTTAGGGCGTAGATCTGACGTTTGCTAGGCTAGTTTAGGGCCGAGATTTGATGTTCGCTAGGCTAGTTTAGTGCTTAGATCTGACGTTTGCTAGGCTAGTTTTAGGGCGTAGATTTGCTGTTTGCTAGGCTAGTTTAGGCCAAGATCTGATGTTCGCTAGGCTAGTTTAGGGTGTAGATCTGACGTTTGCTAGGCTAGTTTAGGGCGTAGATCTGATGTTTGCTAGGCTAGTTTAGGGCGTAGATCTGATGTTTGCTAGTCTAGTTTAGTGTGTAGATCTGACGTTTGCTAGGCTAGTTTAGGGTGTAGATCTGACGTTTGCTAGGCTAGTTTAGTGCGTAGATCTGACGTTTGCTAGGCTAGTTTAGGGTGTAGATCTGATGTTTGCTAGGCTAGTTTAGGGCGTAGATCTGATGTTTGCTAGGCTAGTTTAAGGTGTAGATCTGATGTTTGCTAGGCTAGTTTAGGGTGTAGATCTGATGTTTGCTAGTCTAGTTTAGTGCGTAGATCTGACGTTTGCTAGGCTAGTTTAGGGCGTAGATCTGATGTTTGCTAGGCTAGTTTAGGGCGTAGATCTGATGTTTTGCTAGGCTAGTTTAGGGTGTAGATCTGATGTTCGCTAGGCTAGTTTAGGGTGTAGATCTGATGTTCGCTAGGCTAGTTTAATGCATAGATCTGATGTTTGCTAGGCTAGTTTAGTGCATAGATCTGATGTTTGCTAGGCTAGTTTAGTGCATAGATCTGATGTTTGCTAGGCTAGTTTAGGGCATAGATCTGACGTTTGCTAGGCTAGTTTAGGGCGTAGATCTGACGTTTGCTAGGCTAGTTTAGGGCCGAGATTTGATGTTCGCTAGTCTAGTTTAGTGCATAGATCTGACGTTTGCTAGGCTAGTTTAGGGCGTAGATTTGCTGTTTGCTAGGCTAGTTTAGGGTGTAGATCTGATGTTCGCTAGGCTAGTTTAGGGTGTAGATCTGATGTTCGCTAGGCTAGTTTAATGCATAGATCTGATGTTTGCTAGGCTAGTTTAGGGCATAGATCTGATGTTTGCTAGGCTAGTTTAGGGCATAGATCTGATGTTTGCTAGGCTAGTTTAGGGCATAGATCTGACGTTTGCTAGGCTAGTTTAGGGCGTAGATCTGACGTTTGCTAGGCTAGTTTAGGGCCGAGATTTGATGTTCGCTAGTCTAGTTTAGTGCATAGATCTGACGTTTGCTAGGCTAGTTTAGGGCGTAGATTTGCTGTTTGCTAGGCTAGTTTAGGGCCAAGATTTGATGTTTGCTAGGCTAGTTTAGGGTGTAGATCTGATGTTTGCTAGGCTAGTTTAGGGCGTAGATCTGATGTTCGCTAGGCTAGTTTAGGGTCGTAGATCTGACGTTCGCTAGGCTAGGTAAGTTAGCGGAGCCCCACGGTCATATTTAAATGTACCATAAGGTTCGCCTTATCTTACATTTAAAGGACATGGCTGCCTTTTCTGACTCTGCCTATGATCTGATCATCATAGGCAAAATCAGAACTTCATGACAACAGTAAGTTAGAGCAGCAGTAGACAAACACGCAAAACTAGCATGCTAAGCTAACGTCCTTTAGCAGGGAGCAGAGTGAGGCCTGATTGGACGGCTCTGATATCTTTCAAAATGATGTTTTATTATGAATGTATGTATATAGAAGATAAATATGAGAAAAATTATAAACAGGTTATAATTAAAATTAGTTGACATGAAATATGAAATGAAATTAAAGTACGTTTTTATTCAACATGGACCTGCAAATTTCCTGATCAACATTCCATTAAAAATACTGTTAATGTAAATTCATTTTTATTTACAGTGTGAACTAAATGTGAATATGAAAGTTTTATTAATCAGCGTTTATGTGGTGGATTAGATTAGATTAGATTAGATTAGTAATGTCGACAGCGCTCTCGTTCTGTGGTTTGTGTTCTGTTCTGTAGAGGTTTTAAAGCCTTCAGCACAAATCACAGGAAAAACACTGAACACCTCACTACCTACAGACATACACCTGTGTGTGAGTGTGTGTGTGTGTGTGTGTGTTAACACTTGGATTTCTACACTTGTGAGGACTAAAGTGGTCATGCAAAAAAAGACTCATCAAAATCTGTGTAAAGTTGCTAATGAGCTCCATGTTTAAAATACAGTTTGTTTTCAGGTCCTCAGGTTAAGATTAGGATCAGTTCTAATAACACATTGATACTTACAGTCCATAGTCATTTGGGACAATACTGTGCAAAATTCAGATACCACTTGAGATACCATAGCATTTACCTACAAAGCACCTAGCGATACCGTAGCATGGGATACCATAGCAACCACTTGTCCACACCCTAGCAACACCATAGTAACTGCTTAAGCTGTGCAGTCGCTCTGCATTTTCTTCAGGAAATGAGCTTTTCTTCTTTATTCGACTTTCCGCTCGTAAGTAAACGACGGCGTCTCCGGCTTCTGTGCAGTAAAACACACGGGAGACCTGTATGACCTCATGTCCCCACAAGGTACATAAACAAGTGTGTATGTGTGTGTGGGTGAGCTTCTCTCTATACTTCCTCAACGTCATGGCCACTTACTGACCAAAGCCCTCCCCACTTACTGACCACAGCCTTTCCCGCTTACTCTCCACAGCCCTCCCCACTTACTGACCACAGCCTTTCCCGCTTACTGACCGCAGCCATTGCCACTTACTGACCACAGCCCTCGCCACTTACTGACCAAAGCCTTTCCTGCTTACTGACCACAGCCCTCCCCACCATCACTGTCCACAGTCCAGAACCGCAGTGACCCCATTGACCCTGTGTCACCCTTCCTGCTCTGAGTGAACCCGTGTCACTGCTCTGTGTTCTCTAATGAAGGCTGGCTACCCATAATCTCTGCTCATTAATATTCGTGACCTTGTTTGTTTGTGTCTTGTATCGGTGAATTACAGCGTAATTGTCTTTAATGAGTGTTAAATGTTGCCGTCAGTGTCTGTTTGATCTTCTCAGAGGCCACATGCACAGATACACCTCGGGGGGTGAATCCAATAGTAACACCCTATGAAACCATGTAGAATACCATAGCAACCACCTGCAACCACCTAGCAACTCCCTAGCAACCCACAGATACCTAAGCAACCGCATAGCAACCATCAACCACCAGCTTTAAGCTGCACAGTTTGTATCAGTTCAGAGCTGCAGTTGAAGCTGCAGCTTCAGTTTCACTGTTTTCTTTTTTGCCTTGTGCCTCAATAGAAGAACAGAACTGTGGGTTCAGTGAGTCGTGATGATCCTGCATATGCTAATCATAAACGCCCTGGCATCATAACCACCTCCCACCCCCCCTCGTCACTCCTTTAAAACTGCGGTGGGCTTTTTTACGGCGTGTGCTTTAAAGCATGATTACATCATCGCTCTGAAAGTTTAAGCTGTGAAATAAATGACGTTTGATTTACGTCCAGGTTGCTGTTCTTTGAGCCCCCCGGGGGTCTGTGCACAGGCCTGCTTCTCCAGCATGGCTGCATGTTGCCCAGTTTTGTGTCTGTGTCTTCTCTGAACACGTGCGATGACCCCCCGCTGACCCCTGTCTGATCTGGTTAACAGGAGGCTCCATATGTGATGTATAAGCGGAATTATATGCAGTTGGAGGGTAATGACCGCTATGAGGGCTACTGCGTGGACTTGGCCTCAGAGATCGCCAAACACGTAGGGATCAAATACAAACTGTCCATCGTGGCCGACGGCAAATATGGGGCGCGTGACCCCGAGACCAGGACCTGGAACGGCATGGTGGGAGAACTGGTGTATGGGGTAAGTGAGAGGTCATGACCCCATTAGGGGTCAGACAGGTGGTCAGAGGGTGGGATTACTTACGGACGGGTGTGTGAAGTTAGCAACACTAGCTAAAAATCACCCACTCTGATGTCAAAACATACAGTTATTACTGTGATACACCCTGAAACATCATTAACGTTTAAGAATTTCAGAAATTTACATAATTTTAATCGTAATTTGCTACACTTTGTGAATCTAACCGAATAACTGCTCATCTAATTATCAACAGTTACACTATGATTAATGTTTGCATTGAATTTCTATGTTCTGTATCAGCAGCTTTGAGTTTCAGGGGTAAAAAATGTGGATGTTTTTATTCAAAACAAAACTGTTCACCAAACTCAAATTATATAAAAATTCCCTGTTTACAGACAAAACTATAATTATAACTAGAAATGTGAATATTGAAGGATGTCGGTGATGGACGTGTCTTTTACTGGGCTTTTTTCAGTCTGACTTCAGCAGAAAAACTGTTGATGCTAAAATGTTTCACCTATAACAGAAACATTATGTAGCGCAATATAAATAAACTTTTTCTTTCTATAAATAAAACATAAACTGGACTTTGCTGGAAGTTCCAACAGCACAGAGTTTTAATTGTTGAATAAAAGTCATTAGAAATCAGCTTAAATTTGCAGCCTAAATAAGAACAAACAATAAAATATGTGACTGGAATCTTTTATGGTTTGAACACAAAACTGTAGCTGCACATCTGAGAAATGAGCTGCATCCTTTTGGTAAAACTTGGTAAAATTGTCTGTTTGGTTTATAAAGTCGGCATTTGGAGGTTTGTTCTCAGATATTCCTGTGATCAGTGATCAGTTTTGGCTCACTGAGGTGGTTTGTGGCTGGACGTCTTCCTCTGTCCCCGAGTGTTGCTAACTCCACCCAGGTCTTCGGTCTTGGTCAGAATTCACAGCCCTGAAAATTAGAAATTCTCTCAAATTTCTAAATTTGGAAAAAGAACATTTTGGAACTAAAGATGGCGCCACTGAGAACAAAGTGACTAAAACCACTCAAACCCGTGTTCAGATACGACGACGTTCTGGTCTGTTTATCTCAGATTTCCAGACAGTTTAACCCAAAAATCAGGACTTTTTCTGATTGGACTAAAGAAGTTTTGTGTAGTTGTGCCTTTGATGACCGTCAAACAGAACCTGTTTACATTTTTAAAATACATTTAATTTTTATACCTTTATTCACAATCAGATTCAGATTTTCTGTTGTTTCCTTTAAAATGTAGCATCGTTAGTTTAATGTGAGCAAAAGCATTAATTTATTATTAGCTGATAAAAACTATTATAGTTTTAGTTCCAGGTTTACAGTTCCTGTTCTTACAGTCGTGATCGTTCAGGTTAAACTTATAAACATGGCTAGTCATTTATGGTCCACTCTGACTGGACTAGCGAGGCGCTGCTTCGGCTGATCGGAGTGTTAATGTTTAAAGACGTCAGAGGAACAAACAGATGGATGTTTCTGGCTGGAACGGTAAGACGAACTGTTTGTTTTTGTTTGTCTTCTGTTTGTTTTTGTTACTTCTACATTCTTCAGACTACAGGATCTAAAAATTCATCTTTCAGGTTTGCTCTGAATTATCAGGTTTAATTTGTGATTAAAGTATTTATTTTATATGTAATTATTTCATTAATTTTGAATTATGTTGCATTTCTGTTTTTAAATGAGTGAAATTCACTCATTTATTTCTGATTATTTCCATTTATTTAGTTTTGAGGAGAAAATGACTCACTAATAACACTAATAATACTAATAATAATACTAATAATCAGCATATTCATCAGTTAATGCTGTAAAGCGATTTAAAGGTGCTGAATGAAGGTTCATTAAGGTGCTTCACCTGATCAGCCAATAAAAGAACAGAACTAGTTTGGATTTGGTGGTGATCAGTGATCAGTGATCAATACTGTTAAATTAATAGTAAAACTTTATTCTCTGTTCGTTTTGCTCGTGTGTTGCTGTTTGCTGTAGCTGTGGTTCAGAGGGTGATGGGTTCTCCTTCTGAGTTTTTCCTGCTGCTGTCAAGTCAGTTTAGTTTAGTTTTGAGTTAAATTTGACTTGAAAATAAAGCGATTCTGTAAAAATGGCTGTAAATCCTAAAACAGTGCAGCGTTTTTATTAAAGCCCTTAAATTAAAGCTGAAAGTTGGCTCTTCAGTCACGTCCTGACCGCTGCGTTTCAGACCCACTGTGGTGAACAGAGGGTCGGGGTGGCTACTGAAAAATGAGCAGTTAGCTACTTTGCAGCTACTTTCCCGAAATTTATAGCTACAATTTAGCTACTTTTCCAGAGAAAGTAGAGGCTACTTTCAAAGCGTGACTGTCAGAACGTTTGTGAATCTCAAATCGACTCACCAAACAAGCCCAACTGAGCAAGACACTGCATTTAATCATGAGCCAGAAACAAACGATTGAAAAGCTGCAAATAAACAAAAAGATCACCAAACAGTGAGTTTAAGTGTAAACAACAATCAGACTTGCACAACCAAAGGCCTGATATCCAACAAAAACTTAGACTAAAGGCAAAATCAATCATTTAGGTTTTTCCTAACAAAAATCAACAAAATAACTGTAAACAAACAAACAACTTTGTGCAAAACATTGTGAACTGTTGAAATAAAACTGCTCCAATTTAAACATTTCAGTACGATATTTACAGACAGACACGACATTCAGAGTCTTTATTAACCTTCAGCAACACTTCAGCCTCAATACTCTCATCGGTGACTCTGGCTCTGTTTGGGGTGAATCAGGCCTGAATAAGGTCTCCACTGCAGAGCTGCTGCGGCTCCACAGCAGAACTAGATTTAGGTAAAATAACATAATAAATAATAATATAATACATCATTTAGATAAAATATCATAATCCTCCTTTACTGTAAAACCGTTATAACACAGTTCTAACACAGCTCTAACACAGCTCTAACACAGTCTTCACAGTAAATGGTCTTAAACGCTGGAGTTAATGTAGAACTGCTCATTCAGATTTCAGACGAACATCCATACTTTGGAGATGAACGGACTTATTCGCATTTATAATCACTCCGCTGGTTTCCTGATACGTTTAATCTGCAACAGCTTGCGAAGCTGAAGTCGCTTCTCATCCACCAGCTTCTCGTTCGAATTGTCCTGTTCCACCTTAAATGTCACAGCAGTACAGTCTGGCACCTCAGGCACTATTTAAGGTGGAACAGGAAAATTTGAACGTGAAGCTGTCGAATGAGAAGCGACTTTAGCTTCATAAAAAGTTGAACATTGAGAGAT